CCAACAAGATGACATCAGGTTAATGTGAAAAAAATCAATGGGGGACCAATTAGTCTTTGGTAAAACCAGCTCCAAGGATGCCAGAGATCACATGCCTTGCCCATGCCTCCATCCACTGTGGATTTCAGAATGGCTGCCAGTATTAAACTAACTGATCAGCAGACACCTAAGGTGAAGGAGAGTCTCTCATATCGCAGAGAAACTCAGAACAGACCCAAACCACATATTAAAATAAAGTTGTGCTTAAAACTGAACATCTCTGGTGAGCCCCCATTGGCTAGACTCCTACTGGTTAATCCTAACTACAGCAGACCCATTCACTCAATTGTTGCATGGTGAATCAATACATAGGTAAATCCGACTGATTTAATGGGTCTACTCTAGTTAGGACTAGTAGTAGGACTTAGGCCATTGAGCCCAGATCCAAAGGAACAATTTCTGGAAAGGGATGAGATGACAAAAAACAAAAAACCCTCAAAAGAATCTTGTAGCACCTGAAGGACTAATTAAAGTTTTATTTATTTTGTGGACTACAGCCACTCAGATTAGCTATAGTCCATGAAACTGATGGCAGTTAAAATTTTAGTTGGTCTTGCAGGTGCCACGATATTATCTCTTAGTTTAAAATAGAATCATAGAATCATAGAGTTGAAAGAGACCACAAGGGCCATCCAGTCCAACCCCCCTGCCATGCAGGAACTCCCAATCAAAGCATCCCTGACAGATGGCCATCCAGCCTCTGCTTAAAGACCTCCAAGGAAGGAGACTCCACTACTCTCCGAGGGAGTGTGTTCCACTGTCGAACTGCCCTTACTGTCAGGAAGTTCCTCCTAATGTTGAGGTGGAATCTCTTTTCTTGCAGCTTGCATCCAGTTTCGGGTCCTAGGCCTAGTCGGGTCCTACCGTACTTATTTTCTGGATTGCAGACCTGTGCCAGTTCCCTGTTGAAAATCACCTCCTTCCCAGCTGCTTCTTACTCCCAAATATGCTGCTTCTACTAAGAGGCCTTTCAGAAACAAGGAACAGCTTGTAGAGAGGAAAGGACATGCCCCATCCCAACCCACTCCATCACCATGTTCTGATCAGAGTACTATAGCTGTGTTTTATTCAGAAAGGTCAATTTAAAAATAATCCCCCCC